AAGAGGTCAATATAAAAAATGTTTCTTGTCCGATTCATCGGTTAATCGAAAAAATAATCGCCCGATTCATCGATTTTTAAAATAATCGTTAGTTGCAGCCCTATACGCATACGTATCTGCGTTCTTGTGAATTGAGAAACAGCCCTTGTCTAGTGACCGTGGATGGTCACTACTTTTCAAGATGCATTGTGGGAAATTTCGAGTTCACTACTTTTTAATCCGCTAGACGCTCAGAAAAATGGCGTGACCACTATATAGTGCCCTATATAGGGATTAGGGCATTTTGGGAGAAGCAGGGAGATTTTCCACAGAGTTTTAAATATTGTAGTTAAAAATAAACAATATTGGAGAAGTTAATGGACATGTACAAAACAGCGAGGTCATTGTTTGCCTTTACAACAATCAAAGAAAAAAAGAAAATCCATTCACAATAATTTTTTTATAGTTTTACACACTCAATAGTGTCTCATCACCTGGTTGCTACAGGTATTGATGTGGCAGCGCTATTTGGTACAAACCAAATTATAAATTTTTTGAATATCTGAGATGCACCGAGCAGAGTTGTGTTTCCGGATCGCTACCGCAGTTTTCAGTAGTTTTGAGATGCTTCTGTGCATTTCTTAATCATAATGTTTTTTTTTTTTTAGCCTTCCTGCAGTGACTGCTCTTATTGTAGAGGAAGAGGTGAAGTTGATTTTTACAGGATTTTACAACAAAACAAATGGAATCATCAATAAAGGATGTCCGTTTCACATTTCTTTAATGTCTTACATTAAGTTGCAGGCTGAGCTCCAATTCCTGTGTGAATCCTCTAGAGGATGCAGATTTTCTAAAAGTTGCCAACATGAGCATGTTGCATGAGAGACGGGTCGAAAGCTCCAAAAGGATAAATGAAATAAAACATTTCTGTAAGCGATATCTGCTGAAATCGGCTCCAGATCTATTTGTTCTTTCAGAAAAACATTCCCTGATATTTATTTCAAAGAACCTAAAAAATAAATAGCGGACATGTTGGAGCAACGTCCACAACAGAGACTGATATTTTCAGAGCCGCCTGGTATCAGGTTAGATGGGGAAGATCACATTTTTTATCATTCAACCAGTTGATTCGCAGTCAACCTATGTGTTTTTTTTGTGTGTATTTTTTAGGGTTCCCATGGTCTTTAAAATCCAACGAGGTGTAAACAAAAAACCATAGAAGGGATGTGTGTTTAAAAGACTCCACCTGTACAATAAGTGCATCCTTTACTGTAACAGTGATGCAAAGCTCAGTGTCTCGCCCGCACAGTTGAGAAAAGACAGCCATATTTATTCTGCTATTCCTCCCCACTGAGTTATAAATAGTACGGGTTCATTAGTGTGACACAGTGCAAGGCCTTTGTAATTAAATTCCAGTCATTCAACGCTCCTTCCAGTTGGTCCAGCGTGATTAGGGACAGGCGGGGGCCTTTTGATGGGTCTGACTCATGGGATAATGAAAAGCCTGCCGCTGATGCATCCTGATCTCTTGCAGAATCACATACTGCCACCTGCCCTTCCAGAGCAAATGGCTGTACATTGGCACAGAGCGAGGAAACATCCACATTGTCAACGTGGAGTCCTTCACCCTCTCAGGCTATGTTATTATGTGGAACAAAGCCATTGAATTGTGAGTTTGCATTTCACAACTTTATTCTCTCTCTCTCTCTTTTTTTTTTTTCTTTCCTCTCTGTCTCCACTGTGTTTGCATATCTTGCCTTGTCCGTTGGTGCGGGGAACCAGGAAACTCCGAAATGCAAAGGAATGTTGCTGCCTGTGCAAATGCTGATGTTATGTCCTGCTAGCTGATAGCGCTGTAGGTCTCGTCAGTGTGAGGGAGGCATGGAGGTGTTGCTGCAGCGCCACAACTGCTGCTTGATTTAGCAGGGATCCCACCAACCCACTCCCTCCTATAATCATCCCCAGCTTTAAATCTAATCCTTTACTTATTTTTTCTAAGATAACTTCAGACAATATAAGCGCAAAATGCCAGCTTATAAAGCTATGCATGGAGTAGCATTGAAAATGTGTGCTAAATGAAAACTTGGGCCTGTTAAAGTTCTTCTCTAGCAATCCCTGCCCCCAGCATTAAAAAATAGATTTTTAAACTGACTGGCAGATGAAATAAGAAGTAGACAGCGAGGTGTGCGTTTGAGCGTGAGGCTGCAGGTGAAATCCGATAAATTGCTGCTTTAGATCGCAGAGATGAAAGTGTCAGAGCAGAATGTGCGATCTGTGAAGGAAACAGCCACTGAAGATGGGAGATGATTCGGCCTCAGCGCATATGAACATGGAGAAGGCAGGATGTAGTGTGAAATCCAGAGGATAATTCAGAGTCATTTCTTGTTAAAAGGCCTGTCGGCTCTCTGACAGGAAGGTCTTTTTCTATGCTTTCTAGCTCAGTTGCCTTCTTCTTTACTTTTCTCATGCTGATACAGTAAGTGAGGGAGCTCTGGATTTTTGGTTGGTAAATTAATTACAAAGTAAAACGTCTCAACTTTCAGGAAGTTCATTTATGAAATACCTTTTCTGTTTTCCCTCTGTGCACCATTTCATTTGACTTAGAATAAACCAAACTTCCGTTTTAAGAGTTGAGCTTTTAAATGTTCCTTCCTTCCTAAAGAAGGTTGATGATATTCTGGTGTTTTTGTCAGATTTTCCTTCACAATGTCTATTTATTTAAAAGTCATCTGAAATGTGAAGAGGCCTCAAATGTTTTAAATATTTATACAAAAATTTAAAAGGTAATTAGCGCTAACATTTTGTTATTCATTCATTTCTCTCCTAAAGAGCTTTAGAGCTTGGATTATTATTTAAACTCCCCTTTTCACACTGTTCACTGTGAAAAAAACTGTTTATCATGGTTTCTCAACACCTTTAGCTATCTGATCAGATCACGGCAATTCATTTTGGGGAGGAGCTATTTTATTTCTTTCTTTTTTTCAGAACAACAAACACTCATAATAAATGAGCAGAGCAGCCTTAATTTCAGCGTAGCAGGAAGCTAGGCTGCAATAATTGACTGCATGAAAGATGTTTTGATATCTACTGATCAGAATTGGTTTGTGGCTTATATGTTCTGAAGATGATGAACTCTGATAAGATCAAGTCCTGGGCCCCGAGTCCAAGTCAAGTCTATGTCAAACTTATGACAACGGCTCGATCTGAATACCTTAAAATCTTTAAGGACGGTTATTATGCCACAGTAGGAGCGCGTCGGTGGTTGCTGTTCTATTGAAGCTGGCAGTGAGGAAGGAGCTAGGACAAGGAGGCAGTATGCTGATAGGAGCTAAAGGGTTTCCCACAATCCACTGGGTGACAGAACATATAGACTAGGACTGAAACAATCAGATTAAGCGATTATTTTAATAATCTTCAACTAATTTACTAATTGGTAACTAGAGTGTAGAGACTCTTAAGACGTGCTTTGAGCTGACAGAGCAACACACCTTCAGCAGCAATCATTATACCAAAATTGTAAAAAAAAAAACTATATATATATATATATGTAAACATTTTGCATTTAAGATAAAAATGTTTTTTGTCTGTCAATATGCTCTATCCAAAACTCCTCAAGTGGAAAAAAATTAGTTTCACCTGGTTTAATTTAGCGAAAAGTCTTTAAGAAACCTTTTGCTATCCGATCGTTAATCAATTAATCGGAAAAAATAGTCGACAGATTAATCGATTTGCAAAATACTCGTTAGTTGCTGCGCTAGTAACGACACAACTCAGCTCGGGAAGGTTAAATGAGATTATTTCTTCATATACTCATGCAGTTGTCCTCACCTTCTTGTGTTTTGGGTTTTATTATGGAGAGCTTCAGCCTTTTAATACATTTGTGTAACATTTTAGATCCAATTTGAGGTATTCGAATCGAACACCACCTCTGTTGGAACTGAATCAGACCATGTAGCTGTGGCGGCTGGTGGAGTTTACCAAAAACCAATCAAACATACTAAGTTATCACACCAGTATATTTATATGAATGCAAACAACAAAAAACATTATAAAATCAAAAAATAATTTCATGTACAGGTTTACTTTTTGTACAATCTTTCCCTTATGAGGCTTTGTGAAGGCAAATCTGTATTTTGCATGCTCCAGTATTGTTTCGCAAACCCCAAAAAATAATGTACCAGTTTAATAATGGAGAAGCTATTGGTCAACTTTTAATTTTTTAATATATGGAAACTACTTATTTTTTGAGAATGCATTTATTTAATAGCAACTATGCAAATGAACAACCATCTAGAAAAAGTACACTATATCAGATAATTTTTCATGTGAATCCCAGTTATTCATTCTTATTTGCCATTTCTAAAAAGTGCTTTAGATCGGTCCTACCTGTCTTCATCCATGCTGGGTCAGATCCTGACGTTTGAAAAAGGAGGCAGGCAGTCAAGGCAGCAGAATAAAGCTTTAGCCTCGCTGCATGCAGTTAGCCAAGCCTTGTAACTAAACCAGGTCCTGGAAAAAGACAGTAAACGCCTACATCCGTCTTTTTGGAAATACATCACCATTACAACCGAAAAGGAAATGGCTTTACTCGTCCTTAAAGATTAAATATTTATCTTGCACATCTAAAAAAGTATATATATTATTATATTTTGAGATATTTTAATTTTGTAATTGTTTTTTTTTTCATAAAAAAAAAATATTAAATGTGATTATCGTGGCATTTAAAATACTTTATGTAAAAAAAAAATGATTGTAAAAACAATTTCATCAGATATATTATATCGCAATATATTTGAGCGGAACTGCTTCCGCTTGATCATAAAGCTTCGGAAAAGAAGCTCAAGCTAGAGAATAGGAAAATGCAAATTTCAACATAAGTGGCTGGAAAACGAGAAATTCGGGACATGGCTGCAGCCTGTTGATGGTAAAGATTTCACCGTGTTTTTTATTTCTATATAAATATATATATGAGAGTTATGGCACTTGTTGATGGCATTGAAATTTTTTCTAAGAGCATTAAAAAGCATTAAATCATTCCTGTATAAACCCTGCCTAGCGCCCCCTATTGGCCAGCTGCCACTGCCGTATAGGTGAGGTCAGAATCGCTTCTGTGGTAAAGGCAGAACGTTTCTTTTTTGTACCAGACTGTGGAGGCGGCGAATCGTTGTTAGGGCCTTCAGCCAGCTGCTGTCTTAATGAACAGTTGAGAATGATTTTAAATCGCAGAGAACTGAAGGTGCAAAAAGCCACCAGCAAGCTGTTTCTGGAGGTGGTTGAAGCTCTGCAAGCATTTCATTAAAGACCCTTATTATCAGGGAACACCATGGCCTCTGATTAATTATAGATACTCACAAGTCTGCAACGTAACCTTGTTGGTTAGCAACTAAAAATCAGTCTACTTTGAAATCATTTGCAATGGTGTATAGAAGCAAAATGACCCGAGCTTGGCTTTTATCCAGGCTGTGTTTGCAGACTACATACCTCTATTGTGTCAGTTGGCTGTTTATACCAGGTCCTCATTAGGTGGTGGCTTGAGCTCCTCTTCTCTTGTTTTTACTCACTGCGACATCTCTGTCTGTATTGACTCATCAGCAGCAATGAGATCATTAGCCACCAGAGCCAGACCACACTGAAAGGCAGCAACACTTTCTTTGGGCCAAATCTTGGCTGCCTCCATGCCCCTCACTCTGTTGCCTCGGTGATCCTGTCTCCATGCACTATAATCTCTCATACCCCCCCCATACTCTCTTTATCTCCGTCTCTCTCTCATATCTCTCTTTCTGTAGTGAAATGATGCTTTTTTCTGACGAGGATATTTTGTGTTACCTTTGTACAAAGCAGACTAAGGTGTGACTTGTTTATTTTTTCGTAATTGCCTCATTATCTTAACAGGGCTTCTGAAATTGACTCATTTTTCTTCTGTGTTTTTCCTTAAAATGAAAGAAATTCCTAGATTGCTTTTGTGT